AGGTCATCTATTGACATCTTTGAGTCACTGAATTTAAATATTTTAAAGCAATCGTCATTATCTAACATGCAATAGCTTTGAAGTTTTCATTCGAATATACATCTGCTTCATTAAATGTAAAACCTGACTTCTTTGCAGAGATGACTTTAAAATCTATTGAGTTTGTTTCAAAATTATATGCTATGCTAACTTCTGAAGGTAATGGATGTCCTTCCGCAGTCAGTTGTTCTCTCACTACCGTTTGAAGCTTTGTGTTAAAAACTTTCATGTCATCTCCTGTGTCTAGGTTCACATACACAGCAACAGGAAAACTATCTTGCTTCTTTGTTTCATCATTATACCTCAAAACATTAAAGTTCTTCAATAATATTGTTCTTCCTGCTGGAATACTTCGAACCTGTCTGATTTCAATAGCTTTCTCACCTCCTACATACTCTACCCAGTGCCTTGGATATTCATAAGTATACTGACTTTCTTGAATTTTGGTAGGTTTCATCATAACGTGTTCATAGTATATCTTTATACTCTTGTCAGTTAGACTCGGTGCTATGTTCTGAATATTTCTGACTTGCATTTTTAATGGAGATAAAATGAAGCATTTAATACATGACGTAGATGAAGACATGAATGAAACTACAGACAAACTTAACTCTTCTCTCATTCTTCCTTTCAGTAAGGACTATGAGTTCTGTTCAAATGGCGTTTATTTCTATTGTGGAAAGATGGGTTCAGGTAAGACATTTAATTTAATTCGTCATATACTCATAACAGAACGTTTAGGAAATGACTCATATTATGACCAAATCATTATATCAGCAACTTCAGACTCTATGGACTCAACAGCGAAAACATTTATGTCAAAAGTTCAAGCCTCTGTCGTTAAAGTTCCAGACAGTGAACTCATTGAATTTCTTCAACGTTACATTCGACGTAAGAGGAAATATTATGCCATCGTTGAATTTATACAGTCAGGAATGCAAAAGACTTCTGAGGAGATGGAAAGAATTATTGACAAACACCACTTACGTCAGTACTCAGGAGTTTACGATATGAAACGACTGACAAACTACATTCTATCAAAACTTTCAAAATACCCCTTCAAAAAATATCCTTCAAACACTCTGCTCGTTTGCGACGACTTCGCTGGTAAAGGTTTAGTGTCAAAACCAGACTCACCATTAGCTAATATCATTACTAAAGTCAGACATTACCACTTAACTGTAGCAATACTTATGCAAACATGGAGGTTTTTAGCTTTAAACATAAAACGTCTCATAACTGACTTCGTTATCTTTCAAGGTTTCTCACGTTATGATATTGAACTCATTTGGAAACAGTCAGGTATAACATTACCTTTTGAAGAAATTTGGGAAGCATATAAGTCTCTCATCTCTCCTCGTTCATACCTTGAGATTCATATCATGACTAATACCATTAAAGTCAAAAATATTCCATGGGAACGACCAACATTGTTTTAAAGTTTAACCTTCAATTGACTGATGGTAAACAAATTCCATGCATCTCTGTCGCCATTTCTGTTAATATTTTTGCTGTCATTCATATCATCCACTTCTCCATCCGTTAGCTTTTGAGGATATGCGTTAGAATAGCTGTTCTTAAATGAAGGCTTTTCACCTTTGAGAGCATAAACTCTATAACTTTCTGCATACTTTATGTTTGAACCTCCTGAGCCATCATTGACATAAATTTTTATAGGCTTCCACCCTTTGTTCATGTTCCTGCTTCTTCCCTTAGCTCTTTTGTTCAGTAGTTCTACATCTTTATACACAGCTCCTGTCTCAGTGAATTCAACAATATTTTCATTCGTTAGCTTTACATTCAAACCCTTGTCGAGTATATTGTTCATTTCATACATATAAAAGGTTTTTATTCTATATGAAATGAGAAGCAAATCCATCTTAGCTGGTGCCGTTAATGTTCCAATTGAACCAACATCAAATGTTGACTCACGAACGACAAACAATATTGTCATAAAGAACTATAGTTCAGAGTGTTTGAAAGAAAAAGAACCAGAACTGAAATCCGTGAATTTAAACTCAGCTTCAAACGCTAACGCTACATCAGATGTTAAGTTAGAGTATCCACCACTGGACCAAATTCTTTCAAGAGAAGCCAACGACAACCCTTACACAAATGTTCAAACAAATCCTTCAGATAACGTAGACCATTACCTTCTTCAGTTATACCAAACAATTTTACTCAAAGACGATAAGAAGCTTTTGACAAATCTTATAAGCAAGAACCAAATAATTCTAACAAAGGAGGACCTTGAAAATGTTATATCACGAATAACAGGGAAACAATGTGTCATTGACTATCTCGACCCTGAAATCGAATGCTGTGGTCAAACGCCACCATTCATGAAAATAGGTAACATCCGCATCATTGAAACACCAGGAACTACAGGAGTTGAGTTTAAGTATAAATATTCGAATGAATATACAAAACTTTCAACAGAATATAAACTTTGTTTGAAATATGTTTTAGTAAATTAAAGCAATTTGTAATATCTATCCAAAACTTCTTCAACAGTATCGAACTCATCTTCATAATGCAAACCTAATCTTATTGACTTGGTGCAGTTTTCACTAACACAATATAGCGCTTTGCGCTCGGCGCCTTTGACGCCTTTTTCTGTTCTCTTGACTGACATAACTAATTCATTTGTTTCATCAAACAGCAACAACCAAAGTTCATGACCTAATACATAACATTCATACTTTATATTTTTAGCTCTGAGTTCTCTTGTAAGCTGTTGCATTTAATATTTTCTAAAAAGTCAACTTCAACAGTCATTCGCACTGGTGCCTTCAGTTCTACAGGCTCGCCTTGAAAGTCAACAAGTCTGAATTGCATGTCTTTCAAATTATGAGGACTAATGCGAATCCATTTACCTAAATGAGTTGCTATGACAGGAACGTTTGGAATGAACATTGAATTGACTGCATAACAGAAAGACTTATATTCTACTGAACCTTTACTATTAACTCCTGAAATGCCTGTGACATTAGCTATTTTAGACTCAATGTACAAACAATTACCATAACATACGTATGGAACAGATTTCATCTCAATCGTTTTGTCAACACTTTTCAAAGGAAATGTCATATGGTATGCACCCAGAAGCAATTGAACTCTATGACTCATTCGTGTTATCTTAAACTCCTTTGCATAACTGAACTTCAAAACTCCTGCAATAAGTTTAACATTCATTAAGTTTTCTTCGTTATCCTTGTTTATTGTAGTATTTATGAGAGCATTTAACACTCCAGCTAATGTTTCCATCTTATATTCTACATTATTGTGAAATCTTATTTCGTGCTTCTTTCCATCTATTTCAAACTCCATGAAATCTGTTTCATCTGTTATGACAAAAGTTGCGATAGTATTGAAGTCAACAACTCTGAAAGCAAGTGCTTCATTCTGAAGACCTAAGTTTGTTTGTAGCTTTACTATTCCGTATTCGTTTGGGTCTGTACTTTGCAAATAGAACAACATTTTATTCTCATTAAAATATGACTATTGCTGCATATGCGTATGAAACAAATGAAGCAAGAAGAGCACATGAACTAGTAAACGAAAACTCAACTTTAACCATTGAAGGCAATGATTTAGTCATTGACGATGGAAAAACTAAAAAAGTCATTGATTTCGATACTTTTAACACTTATGACCCATTCATTACAACAAGCAAGGTTCCTATCATAAATGATGGAACGGTGCAATATATAAATTCTACAGTAGATGCCTCATTAGTGAAAGTACTGAATGTTCTCATTGAATTGTTAAAGAGCTTTCGATTTGACGACAACATTAAATGCTTAAAGAATTTAGTCATGAATGAGAAACAAATTCTTGGCGTTGCTGGTAGCAGTAATGATGTACACCTTATGACATTAGAATATTATAACGAACATAAAGATGAACTGAAAGGAGAGAAGGGTGACACCGGACCTCAAGGACCACAAGGAATACAAGGAATACAAGGAATACAAGGACCTCAAGGCGAAAACGGTTTGGATGGAAAGGATGGAAAGGATGGAAAAACTGCTAAATCATGGATATGGGACCTTATAAATACTGGTTTAACAGCTGCTTCATATGGAGTTCTTCAATACCAAATCGGAAAGATATGGGCAGTACTTGGTGAAGAAGTTTTAAATGACGTTAAAAATGCTTTGAACTTCATTTCAAATGGTTCGGATACTATTAAAACTTTATCTGGTTGGATGCAAGAAACAAGGAGTCAAATAGATACTGTAAGACGTATAGCAAACAATGCACGTACGGGATTGGATACTTTACGACAAGCACAAAATACACTAAAGGAAGCAAATGATATTCTTGGCTCAGTATCAGACATGCATGAAGATTGGCTTAAAGGTATTGACAAATCTTTAAAAAATCACAGTCAGTCTATTGCTGACTACAAGAAAAGTATAGATTTTTTACATAGTGCTATGGACGTACATGATGGAAGCATAAGGAACTTACTTAATGCTAACAATAACTTACCAGGAACTATTAAAGCATTTATAAAGTCCTTTGTAAAACCCGGTGCTCTAACATTTAGGTCTTTGAGAGCAAGAGCATTGAAGTCAAGAGATGCAGAAACTCCAACAGAAGGAACTGAAACAACAGAAACTCCAGAAGAACCACCAAAACCAACAGCTAATGAAATATTGTTCGAATATTTTCCAAGGTACTCTGTTCTCATTGCATACATTCAAGAAATACTTAAGAAAGCAGACTTGACTTTAGGAGATGATGAAAGTTCTGTATATCTTTCGTTCCAGTTTCAAATAGCAGAACTTTTGAGACAGATATGCTTAATGTATGACAACATCTCTGATTTCACAAGATATGATGACGACCATGACCCCGAACACGGTGAAGAAGAAGTTTTACAAACATCCATTAAGACAGGAAAGGTTTTAACACAAAGTCTCATTATTGACACCAAAGATGGCGAAGTGGACGTTCTTCAAGAGCTGAAGAAAAATACTTCTTCGGGAGGTGGTGGTAGGCATGAACTTGAAATAAATGAGATAGAAGAGAAATTAGCCGAAAAAGCAGATAAAGAACATAAACACAATATCTCCGATATAAATGAACTTCAAGCTACATTAAATAGTAAAGCGGACAAAAATGAACTTGACGCAATGAACAAAGTTTTGAAATCTCATAAACACAATATCTCCGATATAAATGAACTTCAAGCTACATTAAATAGTAAAGCGGACAAGAACCATGTTCATTATATAACTTCAGACGAACAGATTATAACGGACTACCATGGATATTTAACACGAAGTGATGAAGCGAAGACAAAAAATGTTAATGAAAGAAGATATAAATACATTCGTGCTAAAGGTTATGACATAAGCTGTACTGTACAGTATGATGTAGCTAAAGCACCAGAAGCATTTGGTTATACCGGTGAAATTTATGCCTCTACTTTCAATGTTAACGGTGTATTAGTTGAACCAAGATTTACTTTGAGAGTTAAGGCAAAAATAACGTTTGAAGATGCTATTAAAAGTAAAGCTGACAAAGTTGAACTCGAAGCAATGAACAAAGTTTTGAAATCTCATAAACACAACATCTCCGATATAAATGAACTTCAAGCTACATTAGACAGTAAAGCTGACAAGAACCATACACATAAATCCTTCACTACTGTTAGAGCAGACGACATAATATTGAACTTTGACCTTGGTTCAAGTGCACCATTAGAAAATCCAAGTACAAGCGTAAAAGATACTCTTAACAGTTTAGATAAGAGTTGCAGGAACATTGAAAGTCATGCCAGAAACTTTGAAGCATATGAACTACCAACAATGTTAGATAAGAAAGCAGATAAAACTTATGTGGATGCAGAACTAACAAAGAAATTTTCGAAACCAGATACAATGACATTTACAACAGAAATTATAAATGGTGAACCAGCAACTCCATTTGAATTTGTTAGAGGTCTTCAACCAGATACTTTTGAATTTTTCTTGGATAATTCTATTGAACTAACATTACATTATAAAAGTGGAACAAATGCAACATTTCATCCGGGAGATACATTCCAAATGGTATTTAATGACATAAGTTCTTTAGAATATGTTTATAGAGTTATGAGCATATATGATTTAATATATCCTATAGGAGCTGTTTATACGTCTATGAATCCAATAAATCCAAACACTTTATTTGGTGGTAGATGGTATGAAATAGTTGACAGTTTTCCATTCTACACTAATACGCAGTCAATGAAGATGGGAGGTTCAAAGAAAATAGGTATTGAAAACCTTCCTTCACATATGCATAGGTTCAGTGGAAGAACATCTGTGGAAGGAAACCATTCACATTCAATAACAAAAAGAGGTTATATAAATCTTGCAGCGGGTTCGAATAGACAGGGAATGAACAGATATGATATCTCAGATGACCCCAAAGATGTTAGCACAGGTATTTTCTGTGGAACTGCAGGAAATCATACACATGTTGTAGCTGGTATTACAGACCCAGCAGGTAATGGAAAAGATTATATGCCTCCTTATATAACAATGCACGCTTGGATACGAGTTGGTTAAAATCTTTAACTTTACATAAATGAGCTTGAAAGAAGTATTCGAACAACATCCATGGAGGTCATTTAAGAAGTTCAATGAAGCTGCAAAGAGTTGGGGATTTACTAACAGAGCTGAAGTGAAAAGTTCTTTGACAAAAATGTTGTACATCAAACAAAAATAAACCCTTACGACTACTTTTTACCAATTTACTCCAACACTCCTGACGCATACCAATTTGACACTCTCATTCAAAGCAGAAAAGGAGGACATAAACCATTCCTCATCTTCATAAATGTTAACACTCGTAAAGCATATGCATATCCAATGAAAAATAAAGGAACTCGTGAAGTGTTAAGAGTTTTACAAAAGTTTGTAGCAGAACATAACCCAAGTACTTTAACATCAGACCAAGACAGTGCATACCTCAGCAATGAAATCACAGAATTTCTCATTAAGCATAACATAACTCACTACACTACTGAAGACCATAACCATAACATACTCGGCATCATAAACCGCTTCATAAGGACTCTCAGAGATTTAAACCAAGAGCGAGACTTTACCGAAGAAACAATGAAACATTTTCTCGAAGTATATAATTCCTCAACACATTCTACAACAGGACATACACCAAATTCAATGACACAACAACAAGAAGAAAAGTATATACAAAAGAAACGAAGCCAAACACAAAATATCAGAAATTCAACACAATTTACCCTCATTCCTGGTACAAAAGTTCGTGTAGTTCTTGACGACAAACCGTTGACAAAGAAACGTTTAAGGTTAAGTCGAAATTATTATATTGTAGACTCTACGCAAGGTAATGGATATCTTATAAAAGCTGCCGACGACTCTATTGCGTTTTATCCTCGACATAAATTAGTCGAAAGTAGTAATGGCAAACTTGCTGAAACCATTGACGAAGCAAAGCGAGGAGTGGTTATTGAAATACTTGGCTATAACACAAACGATGACACTTATAAAGTAAGATATGAAGGAGGCGTTGAAGATGTTATACCATCTAAGAACTTGAGAGAGTCGAAGCCAACACATCTGGGACCATTAGAGCGGGAGTACTGGAAAGACAAAAATATGCCAGAAAGAATAAGAAAATTCTTCTAAACTTTTTCATTAGATGTAAATCAGACAAAAATATAATTTAGGTGAAGAGGTTAGATCTCACCTGTTTTTTCACCTCTTTTTTCACCCCGTGAATTTTCATGAATTTTCACAAAAGACCAAAAATAATGTTTAGGTGAAGAGGTGAGATCTCACCTGTTTTTTCACCTCTTTTTTCACCTCTTGAATTTTCATGAATTTTCCCGAAATAAAAAATAAAGTTAGTTTTATTTTTTTTATTTTTTTATTTTGTATAAAAGATATGATTTCAACAATCGGCACAACAACAATTCAAACAACAACAGCACCAAACTCGTTAGTCATGAATCCTACGTCAATGTTAGTAGAGATGAAAAACTTCATTCCTTCTTCATATACTTTCGAAACAAAAATCCAGAAGATAAAGCAAGAACTTTTAACAAGTAATTTAGACTGTAGTGCGAAAGATGAAGAAAATGAAGAATATCTTTATGAAATGCAGGACATTATTGACCATTTACCCAAATTGCCTGAAATCCAACAACAAAAACTCACTATTCCTGAATTCGACGAAATTGAAGTGAAACCAACTGACTCAGTAGAAATAAAGAAGTTCATACGTAAAGTAAATTATGAATTCCTTGGTTTTCATTGCAACCATAAGGTTATGGACAAAGATTGCGACATGGTATATAAAAACATTTCTGACATATATAAATCTGAGGAGTTTAAGACTTACGATAACTTTGTTTCATTAGTTGCAAAATGTGTTTGGGAAATAAGAGATAAAGATAGAAGAGGCAAAGTATGGAACGAACAAATAAGACCCGCTATGTTTGAGATGAAGAGAGCAATTGACGCCTTAGTTGTTTTAGCTGGTTTTATTTCAATGTATAACGCAAAAATGAACCCGCAATGTTCAAAATGTAAGGCAGCAATTAGGAAATATAACTACTCAGTCAAAGAGATAGAAAGAATGAGAAACGACTATGCAGACTTAAAGAAAGAAGCAGAAAAGCCAGCAGAAGATAAAATGAACATGTTAGAATTTCTGAACAAAAACTATCCAACAGCAGAAGATTTCCTTCTATCTGACGTCAAGAAGAAGTATAAAGAAACCTTCGGTATTGTTAAAACTTTTGACATACTGACAGAAGAAATAGAAGCTACGAAATTGTTTAGGATTTCAAATATACATCGTACAATTCATGTAAAACGCTTGTGAAAAAACTGGGGTGAAAAAAGAGGTGAAAAAACAGGTGAGATCTCACCTCTTCACCTAAATTATATTTTTGTTCAAAGCTTCCACGAGAGAAAAGATTCCTCATTCGCTAAGGATTCCAAAAATGAAAAAATCATTGATTTCGGCTGAGAAAAAACAGCAAAACCCTTCTTCCACGGGAACAAAGAAATAAAGAAGAAATAAAGTAAATTTTTTATTTATTCCCGTGGAAGATAGAGCACTTTTATGACACTTTTTATTCACGACAAACAAGACAAACAAAGAAAATAAGAAAATACGGCGCTGTCGCGGTTCGAACCACAGACTCTGACCCCTCCATAACACCACCTTAGACCACTGTGCTACGTAGCCTGTCGACATAAGATTTTATAAATTGCATATTTGACGTAAATTTATTTCCATCTAGCTTCCCACCGCATAAGATATTCATACGTGTTTGTAAGACATTCATTAAACTTCTTTTCTATTGCATCTAATCTTGCGTTATTTTTTTCAATAGCTTGTCTGTATTCTTCATCATCTCCAGCAGTGTTTGGGTCTTCACGTTTAAAATATTCATTGTTAACCAATTTTTTATCTACAAATTTTATTAGTGTTTGATTCACTTCGTTATGATAACGGTCATATTCTTTCAATACGTAAGTGAAGACAAAATGCGTCGTACCTTCAATCTTAAAGCTTAAAGAACTTTCAACACAGTTTTGAGGGTCTGTCAGTGCGTCAATGAGATAGTATTCGAAGTCAGTCAATAATCTTTTTAAAGTCATTTCATACAGGATAAAATTTAATGTTGTGAAGAAATAGTGTTTATCTCAGAAAAAATAACGCTAATTTTATTTTTATTTATTTTTTTATTTTGTATGTAAAGACAGTAATGACAACATCAGAGAACACAACAACAGTTATAGTCCATGAAGCAATAAATGAAGAATACGAGTACATACAATATAACAAACAGTTACGTCTCATTCGTTCAGTCAAAGATGACATGTACCAAATGCAAAGTATTTTGACAGCATGTTATGCTCCAGATACTAAACTTCCTAAAGACTGGTTTAGGAACCAAAGCACTATTGAACTATTAAATGAAGCACAGCGAGACATACTTTTTTCTGAAAACAGTGAAGAACAGCGAGTAGGTAAAAAACCCCAGTCGCCAAAACTCTATGAAAATCGTGAAAAATTGCCAAACGGTTTGAGAGGATATTATGTTCATAGACTTCTCGTAAATGTTGTAGCAATGTGGGCTTCACCTCGTTATGCTTGGTATGTTTGTAAACTTCTTGACGAAATTCACAGACAAGAACGCGAACAGATGGAAAAGAAACTTCAAGCAAAAGATGAAGTCATTGAATCCAAAGACAAAAGCATACAGAAAAGAATACCACGTTCAGTACCAAAAGGAAAGGAAAAGAGTTATAAGTATATGATTTACGCTGAAGAGATGGAAAATGAAGAAGACAGAGATATGGTTATGTTGCATTTAGTCAGAAGAAACAACAAAAGCTTTTATGACCTTGCTAAGATTTACAAATCTGACAGAAACTGGTTCTATCGTGAAAACTTACCGATTTCAATGACACCGAATGAGCAAATAAAGGAAATTGTCAAAAATACTCTTCCTCAAACACACTATGACATCAAAGGTTGCACAATACTTACATTCAAAGAAGACTTACCATTGTTAAAGGAAAAAATAACAGAGTATTTCGATAACTTCAAAGAGGAAGAATGAAAATCTAAGCTAATTTTATTTTTTTTTATAAAATTTTATCTCATATGAAAGAACATGAATTTAGAATATTCGGAACTCATGACAGAAGAGGAGAACGAACAGCATGTAAAAGATTATGCAAAATTTATGAAGACATACAAAGCATTTAAACAATATCTAAATGCTTCTAAAGATTATGCAAAATTTCTGAAGGTATATAAAGCTTATGAAAAAGCGTATGAAAAGTTTATACATTGGGGAATTGTTGTAAAATATCCATATGAAGACTAACCAAAAATATATTTTTGCTTAAATAGCTTCAGGGTCAATTTCTTCAACCATTTCACTTCCTTCGTCAATGTCAATTGAAGCTTCTTCAACCTTTGGTAAGAATTTCTGTATAACATCTTTGTTCGTTATTGTCTTCAGAGATGAAGGATAATATTTCACATTTGTTTCACCCTTCTTATATTCTTTCTGTTCGGAAAGATTCATAGCAATACTGAAGAAGTCAATGTTAGAGTTCTTTATGACAGTATAATGAGTATCTTTGACATTCACGAAGAAACTCTTTTGTTTCAAAACTACTGCTAACTCTTGTGAAGTATAACGTTTGCGGTCAATGACGATAGCTAATGGTCTGACATACTGACCAAACTTAGATTCTTTCACAAACTTCTTGTTAAAGATAATATTAACATTTGAAGCATTATTGAACTCATTCTTGATGGCAGTAGCGAGAGCATTGTATGAAAAGAACTTGCAATCTTGCATGTGTTTCATTAAAATAAAAATATTAAATTATTTTGAAAAATAACTTAAAAAAAATCTAATCTAATTTTTTCAAAAATATTTTTTTTATTTCCTACTAAAGATGTATCGGAAGTTGTCTAAGTTAGAACACTCGGAAATAAAACAACTTCTTACAGAAGCTAATATAGATGTTGCAAAGCATTACGCAACAAACAAAAAAGCACTCGCTGACTTCATTAAAGACTATAATGGTGCAATAAGTTATGATAGAATTCATGAGTTCATAAAGCCGCAACGCGGCGAGGACGAAGTCCATGCAATAGCATTTCCTTTAAATGACGTTGCTATTGACTTATATCATAGACGTTCAGTACCTCATGAAGTAAGAAGAGAGATGTTTGACATAACAAATGCGAACGTTGGTCATACTCGTAAAGCTCTTTCGCATGAAGTAAGAAGAGAAATGTTTGACATAACAAATGCGAACGTTGGTCATACTCGTAAAGCTCTTTCGCATGATGTTCGTCAAGAGATGTTTGACATAACAAATGCGAACGTTGGTGAAACAAGAAGAAGAGACGACACACTGAAACAACAGAGAAGAGAGATGTTTAAGAGCGCTATAGAACAAGTTCGCAAAGCTAACGATGTCATTCGTTCCATTGACGACAAACCAAAAGAAGGTGAGAGATGGTTAAAGAAAGATGAAGAGAATAGGAAGAGAAATGTGAAGTCAGGCAATAGACTCATTGACTTTAACATCGAAGCTTTAGATGAACCAAACAGAGACTACTTACACAAACATTTCGGTAAGGTTTTCATGAGACTCTTAGAGAAAATTAAAATAAACTCACAACAGAGATGGATGGTATGTTATAAACTTGGTGGAAAGTATGAATGTTCTACGTTAAACCTCAATAATATTGGAACATTACTACATCAGCTCTTGAAGGAGAACTTTATATCAGAGATAGAAGCAAATGCCGCAGGTATTGTTGAAATGCACTATGACTTCTTCTTGACAAACATAAAGAATCTTACCGAAATAAAGATGTATGATTTAACAGAATATGAAGGCTTAACGATGTCAGATGTAAAGAAAGGCAAACCAAAAAAGAGACCATATAGAGATGAAAGCACACTGACAAATGACCAGAAAGCCATTTTGGAAGCTCTTAAGCAAACAGGAAACCCAGCACTTATAGAAAGCTTTTGGAAAGATAATGGTGAAAAGAAGTTTTATAAGAAGAGAAGCGGTCAGTTCTGGAAGTATCTTTGCACATTACCTATAAATCTTGAACGCTACCAAATCTTCAATGAACTGAACAAAAGAACTGCAACACTTATGACAGAGGACAATTGTTTCGTTTATGCTTGCATTCAGGCTGGAGTAAATGAAGAAACTATTGACCACATGAGAGAAGTCATTCGTGTTAGAGACTTTCCTCAAAGTAAAGTACAAGAAATTTCTGACGCAACAGGTATATCATTTAATGTTACCATTGGTTATTTCAATGAGTCAAGACATAATGAAATAAAGAGATATATACCAAAAGAATGCGAAACTGTTAGAACTATTGACTTACTTCTTGTTGAAGACCACTACATGCTAAATGAAAGATTACCAATGACAACATACTTCATTCGAAACTATAAAGAAATTCTCAAAGCTTGTGGTGGAATGAACATTGAGAAACAGATGAAGATTTATACAAAGAGAGAAGATAAATATGTAGTTCGTTATGATAGAACAACACCGTTATGGGATGTTATGAAAACATTGTGGGAGTGCAAATATTTCGAACCTATTTCTTATGGAGAACTTTTCACATATACTACTGACTTATATAAACAGAACCTTGCACCATTTAAAGATTTGACATATGCTCCAAAGTATTGTGTACAACTGAAGAAGAAAGCAGAGTCAAAAGAAGTAAATAAAGCTAAATGTAAATTCATACCTGAGCACGTTTTCTTTGCTGACTTTGAGTGTAGTACGGATGGCTTTCATAAAGCTTTTAACATCTGTTATGACAGTGAAGATGGTTCAGTTAGTGAAAGCATTTGGGGTCAAAACTGTGCAACAGAATTTTTGGAAAGACTTCCTGACAAGAGTTTAATATATTTCCATAACCTCAGTTATGACATAAACTTCATCTTAAGACACATGACAGAAGTGAAAGGAACTCCCATCATTAAAGGTTCACGAACAATGCAAATAACTGGCTTATATAAAGGACGGGCAATTATTATAAAAGACTCTTACAGTGTTATAAATAAGAAGCTTAAACTATTTCCTGCTATGTTTAACTTACAAACAGGACCGAAAGAAGTATTTCCATATAACTACTACAGCAGTGTTTTGTTAGCAAATGACAACAGAACTGGTGTCATTTCTGAAGCATGTAAGTTTATCCATGATGCAGATACATTTATGAAGAACATAGATTCCATCAAAGGTTGCAGAATAGATGAAAACCACTTCGACTTAGAAAAATATAGCACGTTTTACTGCAAACAAGATGTAAGAATTTTAAGAGAAGGTTTTGTAAAGTTCCGCAATGACTTATTGAAAGAGTTTGATTTAAACGTTTATGACTACGTTAGTATTTGTTCTATTGCTAACAAATTGTTTGAAAACAGAGTATACTTCCCGAATGGAAATCTTTATGACCTCTCAAATAAACCAAGAGAATTTATTTCGAGATGCATTCAAGGTGGAAGATGTATGTTGTCAGATAACATGAAACAAAAGAGCAAAAAGAAACTCATTGCTGACTTCGACACTGTTTCATTATATCCTTCAGCTATAGCAAGACTTTATACTTTAGAAGGTATTCCAAAAGTATTGAAGGATGAGATGTTAAGCACAGAGTATCTCATGAGACATTTATTCGATGATGACCAAAAGGAACCCATTGGTGAAAAGTTTATGTCTGGCTTCTTTGTTCTCATTAAGATAACAGAGATTGGTATACCCAGACACTTTCATTTAATAGTTTGCGACCCTGAACTAAATCCAGAACTTAACGTTCCAAGAAGTTCAAACACTTGCTGTCTCATGTATGTTGACCATATAACATTACAAGACCTCATAAAATATCAAGGTGTCAAATGTGAAGTGTTGCAATACTATTAGATACTATTACGATGGAAACAGAGATATAGAGAATAAGAGATGAAGTAAAGAAGTTGTTTGAGTTAAGGTTAAAGTATAAGAAAGAAGAAAACCCCTTACAATGTTATATACGAAAACGATAAAAACGGTTTGACAGAAAAGTGACAACTTTACGTGTCAAAAATATAAAAAGTGATATTTTATTCATCATTATCTTCTTCATAATTTATTTCATATTCTTCGTCTTACCAACAAAAGATGGGAATGTGAACAATTGCGGGCAATTTTTAGCCATTTTGGCTTGGAACTAGAGCCTGCGAGGTACATGGATAGTATCAGTACCTCACAGGCTCTAGTTCTCTATATGGCGCCGAGAAATTTTGGTGAAATGTGTCGCATTTCACCAAAATTTTTTCGGCGCCATAGGATGAATTGGAGGGTGAAGATATTATTTCATACAATACTACTCTCACCCTCCAATTCCCAGCCAAAATGGCTAAAAATTGCCCGCAATGTGAACAATTGCGGGCAATTTTTAGCCATTTTGGCTTGGAACTAGAGCCTGCGAGGTACATGGATAGTATCAGTACCTCACAGGCTCTAGTTCTCTATATGGCGCCGAGAAATTTTGGTGAAATGTGGTCGCATTTCACCAAAATTTTTCGGCGCCATAGGATGAATTGGAGGGTGAGAGATATTATTTCATACAATACTACTCTCACCCTCCAATTCCAAGCCAAAATGGCTAAAAATTGCCCGCAATGTGAACAATTGCGGGCAATTTTTAGCCATTTTGGCTTGGAACTAGAGCCTGCGAGGTACATGGATAGTATCAGTACCTCACAGGCTCTAGTTCTCTATATGGCGCCGAGAAATTTTGGTGAAATGTGTCGCATTTCACCAAAATTTTTTCGGCGCCATAGGATGAATTGGAGGGTGAGAGATATTATTTCATACAATACTACTCTCACCCTCAATTTTAATTACTTAAACTCATTCTATTTTTTTGACATGTAAATGTCACTTTTACTGAGATCTGACACAATGTCAGATCTCTTTTTTTCGTATATAAGAACAAGAAATTATAAAACTCATTCTGAACAGCATTTATGGCAAAACTATTCTATCTCCTATTGAGTCAAAAATAACCATAGTAAATGACAAAGATGCTATAAGATATGCTATAAGAAATTACAACCATATAGTGAAGTTCGAAGGTTTGGATGGTTCAGATAAAACTATTTTCAAGCTAACGAAAAGCATTTGCAGACACTTTAACTTCTGTCCACTTGGTGTTAATATTCTGTCTATGTCAAAACGTATTATGAATGAAGTATTCTGTACTGCAGAGGACATGGGACTTCAAATCTTTTACCAGGATACCGACAGTATGCACTTATATAATGAAGACATCCCAAAGCTTGCAGCAGAGTTTAAGAAGAGATATGGTCGCGAACTTATAGGAAAGAACCTTGGTCAATTTCATAGCGACTTTGCAGAAATAACACCTGGAAAACAAAGTTTAGCTTATAAAAGTATTTTCTGTGGAAAGAAGACCTACATAGACTTACTCACTAACGATTTAAATGAAGTTGCATTTCACTGCAGAATGAAAGGCGTGAAGCAAGATGTTATTGCTTTAACCGCTAATGAAATGTTTCCTGAAGCTATACAATGCTATTACAATGAAGATAAGAACATTCACATACCTGTTGGAACATATGACAAAGACTCTGAGTTCAGTTTAATGAAACTTTACAAAGCACTTCATGATGGTCAAGAGATTGCATTCGACTTATGTAAGTCATGTCAACCTTGCTTTGCTGAAAAGTTCAACTTTTCAATAACGACTAAAACAAGCTTTATTCGTAAGTTGAAGTTCTGAGGTCATTTATTTTTGTCAGCAATGAGGTCATGAATGAGGTCATGAATGAGGTCATTCGTGATAAAAATAAAGCTAGCGTAGATTTTACAATACTGCGATGGTAGAGTTTAAGAGTTGTGCTTCAATGTAGAGACAGTCCTTATGGTCTGGAGGCAAGAACACTGGACATTTATGGTCATGAGTGGAGAACATGTCTATCCAAAACTCACGATTGAAGCCAGTTAATTTATAGTATTTAGGGTTAGGAAGTGGTGAAGTTCTTGTATGACCAATGAACTCATTTTCAACTCCTTTACTTAAGTTTGAATATAATATAGCTTGCTTTCTATCCCAAATGCCAGGTGTTACAATCTTTGAAAATTCATTTTTCCTCGGAAGCATTGCATCATAATTGAAAACATTCTTAAATCATCACTTGGTTCGGAGATTTGAAATCTTATACGTAATGGATTTTTTTTCTCTTTAGCGACTTCATTGAATGGTGAGAATACAATGAATTGACAGTCATGAGTTCCATCTTCATTTTCATTAAATTCATAATGAAAGTCTATAAGTTGTGGCTGACTACCTTCTTCTTTCAGTTGTGCAAGAAACTCACGTAAAGGCTGTAAAGTTTGTACTTCAATGTTGAACTTTTTCTCGAACATCTCATTAAATGAAATCATACATTGCAACAATGTTGTATCGTCTTTAAAGTATTTGTATATGTGAATGTTTTGGGCGCTTAAAGACTGTTCGTCATTTTCTATCTCGACTTGAAGTATAAAGTCAACCTTTCTGAAAGCACGTGTTATATACATAGATGTTATGCCAATGTACTTCTCTTCATTTATGTTCACAATCCAGTCTGTTGGAAACTTAAACGTTACTCTGTTCCCCTTTATTTTGACGTCAGGGTTTTCACTACTGAACGCAACAGATAAAGGTATTTGTCTATACATTTAGTTCGGATAAAAATAAACCATTTACTCTTTCTTTGCTTCAGCTTCTTCTCTAGCTTTCTTTGCCAGCAAACGTGGGTTCTTTTGTCTTCCAGCAGCTAATGCAGCAAGTTGTTTTTCACTAAGTTTTCTCTTTGGTCTCTCTGGCTTTTGTTCTTGTTTTTGTTCCTTCAGTTCGGATAAAATTTGCTCACGAATTTCTTTCTTCAATGCTTCAACATCTATGACACCTTGGGTCTTGTCCGTAGGGCTTGTCTGAGTCATTTGATTGCAGATAAAAAACAAAATTAAAACTTTAACCGATGTAAAATGAGCTTGTCAAAATCAGAGCGAGAGTCTATTATATTAAATGACGCAAGAGGAATACAACATCCTTTCTATTACGTAAGTCAGAGTAAAGATGGTAAAATATACGTAAGAAAAAGAAAGGTACCATTAGCGAATGCAGAGAGCGACAACATTAAGGTGCATGGCAAGGGTGAAGTCCATGAAGTCCATATAAAACCTTCTGTTCAAACTGAGCCACCAAAAGAACAAGAAGAAAAGAAGCCAGATGTACTTTCAATAACGAACCAAGAGCTTATTGCAAAGTTCGTGAATTTCATTGAAAAACAAACCGAGTCAAAGAACCCTGACCCGCCAGTGAAAGAAGTTGAGACAAAAGAGAATGTACAGTTCATTGAAAATGTCAAGAAACAACTTCCACCACGAATGCCAAGAAGAAGAGTGAGAATAATGAAGTAAATAGATATTTTTATCTGAAGTAAATACATGCAGAACGAACAGCTAAACGAATTTACTCCAGCAGAGCATATTCATCAGATTCGCTCATATTTCGATATCATAGACAATGCAGTTCAAATTGGTGACACTAATAGAAAATATTCTGACGCAAAGATTCCATCACAACCTGGAACTGCTAAAGATAACACATGGGTAACATTCAATCTCTCACCTCCTGGTGAAAATATGTTGGACCTTTACAATACATTCATTACGTATAAAATGGAAGGTCAATTTATTGTAGATAAAGAAATTGGTTCAGGTTCCAATAAAACAAACCCACCAGGATTTTGGATTGGTTTCGATGACGCTTTCTATGCAGTTGCTGGATATCAAATCCTTGCAAATGGTCGTATCGTATATTCTCAAGACAACGCAAGAGAAGAAGCATATATAACTTCAAACTCACAAACTACCGAACAAATAAAGAAAGTAGATGTTTTCTCAAAGACTCGACATGAAGATGTATGGAGTCATTCGGGAACATGCAGAACAGGACAAATTGTTAGTGGTCCAATTACAGCAGGAAAATCATTTGATTTTAAGCTTCGTTTAAGAATTCCTGTTAGAAAGTTTTTACCATTAGAAGCTATAAGATTTATTCCAGCTTTTGCAGGAAACATTCAGCTTAAAGTAAAGTTCAGTAGCGACGCCTTACAATGCACATCTATATCTGTAAATGATATCATTGCTTTCAATCCAACTCTTAAAGTTGCATTTGCTTCAGATTCAAATCCACCGACAAATAAATTTGTTCCATGGAATGAACCATTCACTATGATAACGAAGGCAGTAGAAGCTAGTGGAACAGTTACTATTACAACTGTAACCCAGCAACTATTTCGAACAAAGATGGATTTTAATGAATGTTTCATTCATCCAAAGTCATTCTCTTTAGACCCTAACATTTATACAGAACTTGTAGAACATTATACAAACGAGGCTTTATGTTTTCCTGTTAAAGTTATGGATTGGATTCCTATGGACGGTTCATTCTCAAAGAATACAGATAGTTCAAGTGCAACATTTACAGCAGCTTATACGCCTATTAATGTTAAAAGTATTTGGGCACTATTTAGAAAGAAAGACAACTATTATGTTAATTTTGAGAACCCTAAGTTTAAATATCTTCAGCTTTCCATGGGAGCTTATGGAAATATGCCTGCAGAACCTGAAAAATCATATGGACCTGTATTTTATGAAATGGTTGCGAACGCTTGCAATACAAACAATGATATGATTGGATTTAATGAAGATGTTATGAGGTCATTGGTGGATGATGGTAGTGTGGAACATAAATGGGATAGCTATGACAACACACATTTCTTATGTGGTTTTCCAACAGAAGTGGACTTTTGCTTCCAACAAGGTCAAACATCTACTGCTCCAATAACATACAAATTGTCTGTTAAAGGACCTATTGAACTAGCAACTGAAAACGTACCAAAGCCACTTATTGGATTTATGAGGGATTGTTGCTTTGCCATTCAGGTGCGTGCTAATGGCATCCCCATAATAAGATTAGATGACTATAACTTAGCCACGGACGACAGTGAGGAATAAAGGATGAACGTTTATTTTTAAAGCTTATAAATGAGTTCTTCATCAAGCTCTCGCGAACCTTCACCATCTATGAAACAAACTTTACCAAACGATTATGGAGCACCTATTGAATATTTCTTACGAGCTGCACAATGGCAAAGAGCAGTTTCACCAAGGTTAGGTGTTCCACCAGCTCCTGTCAAAAATAGCATTTGGTCAAGTCCTTATATAAGATATGGTCTCCCACTAGGTTTGCTAGCTACAGCAGGAGCAGTTATGATGTTGAAAAGAAATAAAGCAAATGTTATAAATAATACTGAAGTAGCTGAAGTTAAACAAACTCCAACACATTCGCCAAAACCAACGCCTTCACAAGCAAAACCTTCAATAACTCCTGAACCTATGGAAGTACAAACTCCTGTTCAAAAGTCAACTCCTAAACCGACTCCAACATTTAAACCAGAACCCACGCCTCAAATAAATCGTAAAACTCCTGCGTTTCCTTACTGAAAAAATAACGTTATTTTTATTTTATTTGAACATTTTATTTAGAGTAAAATGACAAATAAAGTCACTGAAGCAATGAAACAAAAGTTTTTGGTAGAATACATTAAATCAGGAACTATTCCAGAAGGTTTTTACATTCATACTATGAAGGATGGTAGAGTTCAGTTTAGAAAGATAAAGCAACCATTAGATAAAGAAGGAATTTTGAGAAAGATTAAACTTCATGAGGACAACATTGCTGAACTTAAGAAGAAGTTAGAAGAGTTGGAGAAAGGAAGAGAGTTATAAAGTAATGAATTCAACGGGTGAAAAAAGAGGTGAAAAAACAGGTGAGATCTCACCACTTCACCTAAATTTATTTTTGCGCTATGTTTTCATACGTGTGAGGGTGGTGATATCATTAATTTTTAAGTTTATTTTTATTTTACTGAAAATTTTTATTTGGATGTAAATGACAGAACAAAAGCAACTCATTCGAATTCCACAGTATAACAAACATACATTTAAACATTTATTCTTCCTTCCTGAGCATAACATGTTCTTTCAAATACATCCGAGACCAGTTGACTTTTCATTGACTGTGTATAAAGATAGAAATAGTTATATTATTAAACCATACGATGACGAAGGTAAGTTATGTAAATTGTACGTTAAGAAGTTAGAGAAAGTTTATGGCTTCAAGTATGACTACAATAGGGTTAACACTGATGATGAAGATATTGAGGAAAATTTATGAGAACATTAGTGAAGTCGTTAGTGAGAACGATAGTGAGAACGTTTATTTTTACATTAGTGAGTTCGTTAGTGAAGTGAAGTGGGTGGTGGTTTTGTAAATATTTAAGGTTAAGTTAGTGTTTGTGTTTGTGTTGTAAAATATACGTTCGCGGTTTTGTAAAGTGTCAAATTCACATATCATGGGTAAGTAGGTGCGCAGTGCCTCCGTACCCAACTAACCCATACTAACTGAAATCAGCACCCCTATGAGAGCGCTGGCGACCGAAACACCACTAGTAAGATTGTGTATTAGAAACTGCTTCATACTGTGTTGAGTAAGCTTCGATATCTTTATCAGACCACCTTTAAATTAACCACTCACATTCTCACTGTGGTCCATCTAAAATTTGTAAGCTTTATGACATAAAATTATATTATATGCAGGATCCCACCTATTACTTAAAAAAAAAAAAAAAAAAAAAAAAAAGGTAGTGGGGCTCCCAGGCACTTCGTGCCTTCTAGCCCTGAGGATGAATGAGTATAAATGAAATCTCAACAAAATATTTACGATGAAGTCTTGACAAAGTCTTTATGAAGAAATCTCAACAAAGTCTTTACGATGAAGTCTTGACAAAGTCTTTACGAAGAAATCTCAACAAAACATAGACAAGAAAGTTCATGAGTGTAAATGACCCAAAAATATATTTTAGGGTAGAAGGGTATATCTACCCCGTTTTCTACCCTCTTTTCTACCCTCTTGAATTTTCATGAAATTTACACCAAAAATACTACTAGGGTCATTTACGAAGAAATCTCAACAAAGTCTTTACGATGAAGTCTTAACAAAGTCTTTACGAAGAAATCTCAACAAAGTCTTTACGAAGAAGTCTCAACAAAGTCTTTACGAAGAAGTCTTGACAAAGTCTTTACGAAGAAGTCTCAACAAAGTCTTTACGAAGAAGTCTCAACAAAGTCTTTACGAAGAAGTCTTAACAAAGTCTTTACGAAGAAGTCTTGACAAAGTCTTTACGAAGAAATTCATGAAAATTCAAGAGGGTAGAAAAGAGGGTAGAAAACGGGGTAGATATACCCTTCTACCCTAAAATATATTTTTGGGTCATTTACAAAGTCTTTACGATGAAGAACTTTACAAAGTCTCAACAAAACATTGACAAGAAAGTTCATGAGAAAGACTTTACAAAGTCTTTACGATGAAGAACTTTACAAAACATTGACAAGAAAGTTCATGAAAATTCAAGAGGTGAGAAAGTGTCATATAAACATCTGTCACTTTTCAGGAAAAAACATTTTTATTATATATATAAAATGAATTTTACAAAACCACCGTTACCCTTCTTTGGAAATAAGAGTAGATGTAAAGATATTCTATTGAGAGAACTTAAGAAACTACCGAATGGTCTAACATTTGTAGACTTGTTCGGTGGAAGTTTCTA